CGACATAAGTCGCCTAGTTTTGCGGGTCAGGCGACTTTGTCGCCTGCCTGCTGGACACCCCGGATTTACAGTGTACCTAGTAATTTATTACTTATAGTAGCCTTTATCAGTTCATATGTAGCAGTCTTTTCATCAGTCTGATTAATTGTCTCTTAGCGCAAGAATGAAATCTGGAAAGGAAGTAGAGAAGTAATCTAAAATCCATCACAAGAGCTAAATACTTGTTATGTTAATGCATACACATCTTACTTACAAATGCCTTCATGTTAGCAGGTTGAGATAGATATTCTTCCACCTTTTTTTAAGATCATCCTCTGTCTTTGATTTAATGTGAGGAATACCTGGTGGCTCAGACGTTTCCTCTCCCTCGGGAGCAACATACATCAAAATTTTAGCTTGTGTCAGCAAAATACTATTTAGCTGATTGTTGTGTTCCTGAAGTTTGTCAGCAATGACTCTGTTGTGTTCTGCAACAACCCATGTATTAAATATGCGATAACCATGTATTTGCCGTGTAGTCATCTCATGATAAGTGTGTAATTAAAGTAACTTCCGTCACAGAAAGAATGTAGTAAGATCATGTAATAAGAATATGAATGCCAAATAAAAATTTCTGAATAGTTTCAACACACCGGGATAGGATAGGGTGCATTATAGAAGCAAATAAAGTTCGTTTATTTTTTCTAAGGGGACGGCATATCAGCGCTGATATTCGGTCCCGCCTAGGCCGGGCACGCGCCTCGGCCAGGCACGCGTCTACTCCCGGCAGCGCCAGGGCAACGCCTGAGATAGTTAGTTACGCGTGCCGATTAAGCGCACCACTCATAAGATATCGAGACATGATACTGGAGCGGGTCTCACCCGCTGCCGAAGGGGGTCAGTCTAGTTTTACACCTCAAACCGTTCGGTTCGGACCACGCTGGTCGTGGGTCCCTGTCCACTGTGTGGTAGAGTCGCGCCTGTCAGGGCCAGTCAGCGAAAGTGCAAGTGTAGATACCTAATCCCGGTGTGTCGAGTCAGTGCTGCAACAGTTAATAACTTGGAGTCTTATTTATGTACGAACCCCGTTCAATAACTATCCGGAGGAAGCAAGGAATGGACAAGTGTGTGCGAGAGAGAGATCACCGTGTCTGTGCTGTGACCATCAGTCGGCCCGCGTCGCCGAGTGCCGACGTTGGCGACCACATCCACACCTGAGGCAGAACGGCTGCCTACCCAGCGGCTTGCTTACGGTTGGTAAAGGTCCCTGGTGCTTTCAAATCAGTTACGAAGCTAGATAAACTCCTGCATATGAAAGTGTACCAGCCCCTCCCAGTCCAAATTATAATCCCCATTTCTCACAGGTTTGCCATCGCTGTGCTACATTTCAACTTGGGCTGCGTCGGTTATTTTCCTTATGAAGACTGCCAGACATTTATCATCGGAAGAAAATGATCATCTCATTCACTAACAAATATGTGCAAAGTAGCCTTGGTGGTAAACCTAAGTTCAATACTTCGTAATATGCTTTGCTAATCGCTCAGCCAGCAATATATACAAAGAGTAACCTGCACAACCTGAATGGTGAGATCTCACCCGATCTCACTCCACATGTATGGATTAACTTAAGTCAACGGATACAATAACTGCAGAGGTGATTATATGATATCATTTGCAACAGCAATAAGGAGACACAGTTACATCTCAATTTTTATTTGTCTAAAAATTAAAATCCACCCAGATTGGGGAGTCCTTGCAACATATCGCTTCACTTTACTTAAACCAGGGACAGTAAAGGTAAACTTCGAACAGTGTAACAAATAAGAAAGAGTCCCTGGGTAAAAAAAAACGATGGGGCTGTCCATGAGCCATGGACATAAATTTAACCATGGATTTTTGTGACCATAGATTTATGGAACCCGTAAACCATGCAAACAACAGGTGACCATGGGTGATGGATTGCATGACCATGGCTTATGTGCTCCAATGCAAGGAATGACCATGAGAATTGGCTTTCATGGTCACAACTAAGTCCATGAATGTGTCCATGGTTACTATTACCATTGTCATGCAGAACGTCCATGAACACACGTTTGGACATGATACTGTTGTCAATGGACACAAAGACCATGACAGAACTAATCAATGGCCAACTGTATTTGTAATGGACACGGGATGTTTTCCTCATGGTCTGTGTCTTCATGGTCTACGTTCATCATGGCGAGCGTTTGTGTTCATGGTCGTAGAGTCATGGTCACAACCTTTGACCATTGGGACACGTCCATGAATACACCTGGTGCATGACAAGCCATGCACATAGGACCATGAACAAACGATAGCCACGTCAATGTCAACGGTACTTTCCATGGCCACATCGTTTCCTAAATCTATGGATAAGAAATGACCATGGCAAGCAGGCACAATGGTTCATGGTCAAAACGTGTCCATGGGAGCAGCTGGCTACTAGCTGGCCATGGAATTGATTTACCATGGTCATGGCCAGAGTGCCCACAGAGATTGATTTACATGGCCAGGATTGTGGCCATGGTTTGTGTGTCATGGTCAGAGTGCCCACTGAAATTGATTTACATGGGCAGGGTTGTGACCATGGTACGTTAGTGTTCATGGTCAGAGTGCCCACATAAATTGATTTACACAACCATGCCCATGTGTTTAGTTTAGTAGTAGTTTAGTGCAGTGACGTCATCATTGCCTGACCTCCCACAGTGTGGCCACACTGAATCAATCAGCCAATCCGCCCAAAAGTGAATTTCAATCCGCCATAAAGGTACTATTGGGCGGATTTGAGGCAAATTTGGACGAATTTGTAGTGCTTCTTGAGAGAAGAGAGTGTTTCCATTTTAGTGACGTTGCATGCAATGTTGTAGTATTTATTATGAAATAATTATGAAATTGCTATGGTTCAGTAAAAACTGTATCTTCACGTCTACGTATGTGACACTGTATGTGTAATCATAATTCTATTCTTATGGTAAGAATACTATTTTGTGATTTGTGTGTGCGTCCTACTCGTTTACCTTCGCCCCTCTGCGTGGCGATGCCTTCGGTAAATTTAAATTTAAGGGAGGAGAAAGGTAAATAAAATCACGAGTACCTTCTTCTAAAATAGTTTATTCAAAGGTCATCCCATCTCGAAACGAAAAAGGACGTGCTGTGAGTCAATTTACAAATTGCGGAGCCTTAACCTTAGGTAGCATTCGTTGCGTAGAGCGAGCACAATGCCCCTGCCAGCTAAGAACGGAGGTGGTATAGGTGGAGATTTAGAGCACAATTCAACTTCAAATGTCGAACAAATGGCGACAAGGCCCACCTTCACTTGCTGCAGAGCGTAGCGGCGAGCTGCAAACATGGACGTTATCGTACATATTAAGTTACCCAGAAAATTTCTGGTTCTACCAGACTATGTTCCCAATAGTTCCAGTGGTTATAAACAAACAGACAGACGCGAAACTTTTTGACCATTGGAGTAATAAGCATCGCCATCGCCCCCCCCCCCCCCCCTTACTTACCTACGCAGTGCCTGCGACCTATGCCGAAGGGCATATACGCCTTCTGGTTATTGTTTGAAGGAGTGCATCCACCGTCCTGCTGATGTCGAAACCGGTCTGGATCGAAACGTTCTGGGTCAGAGAACCAACGCCGGTCGTGATGTAGGGCGTACACTGGAACTACGAAGCGTTCACCCTCCTCAATGATGACCTGCATCAGAAAAGTGGACAAATGAGCTATTAATTCAGATTTGCAATTTTGTTGACCAGACAAAAATTAACCAACACACTAGTTCTCGGGTATTCCGTACAGAAATACGACTGCAGATCGGACATTTCCAAACGACCCATTACAAGAGGGCGGGGGTCCCTTCGATGCGAGCGCGCACCCTACAGCGATCTTAATGCATGCAGCGTACCACAGTGATTCCAAAGTAACCGCTTAACCGCGACGAAAAGCGTAGAATTCTGTTCGCCCAGGTAAATAGGGTTGTATATGGCTGTATATGATTTGTAAATGATCATATACAGCGATATATGCTTTATATATGACGACATATATGTCTACAGGGTTGTATACATGGTCATATATGATCATATATGCTTGTATATGGGCTTAGATATCACCGTATATGTTACAATATTAAGCCATATATGGTCATATAAGCATATATGCTAATATACTACCATAAACCATATATGGCTGCATATCGAAACATATATGGTGATATATGAACCCATGACTGAGGTATTGACAACTTGCCTCTAGTATTTAAAGTGTCGTTCCTTTACAAAACCAAAGTTTCCAGAACTTATTTTTTGTTTCATTTGTTAAAAAAAGAACCTACATACATATTGATTTCCTAGTTTTCATCACCTGAATCGTTTCGACTCATGAAAATAACCAGAAACAACACGTTTAAAACTTGGGGGTTAACTGTGATGTAAGGCCTTAACCTTACTTCGTGGTAACAACGTCGTTTAACTACTGAAAAGTTTAACTTTTTTGACAATATCGAACCCTGAAAACCTATCTCAAAGACGAAACTTTGGAAATTATAAAAATGAACGTTTTTGACTAACAATTATTACCTGAAAATGCAGGTTTTTATTTTTACAATCACCCTACCTACCACTTCGCCTCAGAAAATTTTCCGATAGTTCCATTTCATTTCCGAGCGAATTGAAATTAAAAGCAATCTGATCGGCAGAGGGCTGTCACTGTCGCCCCACTACCGAGTACCAAACCACGGCCCATTCAATCAAAACTTTCTGTTCTGATTTTGTGCCCATCAAAACATGGCTTCAAATCAACATTCACTTACCGTTGTTCGTGAATCACCGAACTCCGATGCAAAACATGGCTTAGATGACCGTCGAACGAGCGATGCATTTGGTGGATACTTTCGGAGGGTTTCTAGTGCATCCAAAAAAAGAGGAGAAATTAATAATTATGTGCCTGATATGTGAAGCGACAGAACTTAAGGCCAACCAACCGGAGTTACCAAAAGGGACCGGTAACGAAACGATTTGTAATTTTAGTTTTTCAACAATATCTCGTACTCTGTTTGAAATCAACACCTCAGAGGGAAAACCGTTCATCTGTTCCAGCCATTCCGACAGCCGCTCACCTTTTCTGGCCGTTTCGGCAATGCAACTTTTTTGGACATTTGCTCAAAAGCCGGGGGTAAAGCTAATAGTGTGTCAAGAGATCCTATATATTTCATCCAAGATGTTTTGAGTTGAACAAAATTTTTCATAGGCCTACTGGATTTTGAGAAAATACCGTCGTACTGATTTTTTTGTCAGTTAAAACGTAAGAATTCTCTACAGCTGGAATTAATGATCAATTTGTCATTTCGTATAGTTTCGTTTAATATATACTACACCGTAATTCGAAGTGAGATACTTTTCACACATTTTCGTGAGATAAAATTTCGTGTGTGATACCCAAGACTTATCACTCTTGGGGAAGTGATGAATTTTTACCACAAATTTTGAGTGATACTTATTGCAAAATAATGCAATGATTCTATATTTATCTCAAAACGGTGTGACGGCGTATCGCACAAAATGATGGTGTCTCAAAGTATCGCTCAAACTAAGGGGGCAATAACTCCATTTATATGTGGAATGTGTCCATATCATTCTCGAAATACTTGATTCCCAGTGATTAACATACTCTTTTATTCATCACTTAGGTTTTCTAGTGGTTGAAAACGCTTATTTCGACTATATTGTAGCAGTTCTACTAGTTTCCTGCTTAGTTGAAGCGATTTCTGTTGATTCGGATTTATTCATTCATGATTCTGAGGCAAGTGTACACATAACTCCGTGAGTTATTGGCCCCCAAAAATACCGAATCGTTTCGTTACCGGTCCTACACCCGATCCGCCTCTCGCTGAGCTGCGTAATGCAGTGATGGTTATTAGCTGTGTCGTCCTTACCCTTAATGACACAATCTAGATATTCCATGTGTGCCAAGGCGTCAGCTGTCACTTGCAGGTCATCCGTGTTGTCCTCATCGTCAGCAACTTCTTGCTGCAGAAGTCTGATCGTGTCCAGCTCCTGTTGCAAACGCCGCTGCACGTTCGGGTTGTGCGCCAGTTCAAGCAGAGCAAACGTGATCGTGGGCGCGGTTGCTTCGAATCCAGCCCGGAAAGATGCAAACATTTGCGGTGCTTCCACAGAACGCATCAGTGCAGGACACCCTGCAGCACACAAAGTGGAAGGTGAAATCGTGGACGTCGGGCTGCCAGAGGAAAGAAGTG